AAGAGGAAAGATAATCAAAACAAACTCACATTAGTACGTATACTGTAGTTCCAGCGTGCTAATTTTTTCAAAAAAGGTTTTTGCAGTTTAACTTCTGAGGATGCCTTAATATGAATTTGAGACCCTGTCTGATCTTTCAGAGGCATGCCAGGGTTGTTGCTGACAATTGGAAAAGATTATGAAGAGGGAAGGAATATGAAGCTGCCTCCACGCACCGACCCTCTTCGGTGAACTAAATCTTCAATCCTCTTTTCACCCTTAATTTCCTACTGGATTTTTATAGAAGTTGATATTGTGATACCATGGTTAGCCTTTTAATTTACGTACTGAATGTTAATATATTATTATTATTTATCTACGACAGTATATATTGTGGGATACAGTCTGATAACATATTGATCCATAATCCAAATGGCCGATGTTTCAGCGGATAAAAGATATTTTTTAAAAGTCCATTACGGCAAAAAGTCGAATCTTTTGCATCATAAAATCGATTACCGCTACGCGACATTAATATACTGTGTTTAAACAATTTAAGTCTAACATTTGAATAAAACTTCGAAAGTCGATATCACGCACATAATTGTACTTCGGTCGAGACGACGGATATTAAAAAACTGCCAAAAAAAGGACTGTTGTGTTTTGAATTAAGATTAAGGTTAGGTTGACATTTAGTGTTAAAGAAAAAGGGGGATAATTTACCCTTCATGCCTTTCAACGTGAATGCTATAAATATATAATTTTATGGAAAATATCGCAAATCTCATGAAACTGTGGTAAGGCAATATAATATTCACCAATGAAATTTTCGCTTTTTTGCAGACGAGAGAAATGTCTTCAGTGGCCCAGAAAAACCTGGTAATGAAACGGAAATTCGAAAGATTGTGTGTGTTTGTATGTGTTTGTGAGCGTACGTTCATGCGTGCGTTTTTGCGTGCGCGTGTGTGTTTGAGAGAGAGAGAGAGAGAGAGAGAGAGAGAGAGAGAGATTGAAACAACACGATAAGCGATTGATCGATATTTGATATACGTAAGAACAAATAATTCCATGTTGCCTTTGTAGCTAATTAAAAATTAAACTGGCTGCCGCTTGCAAAGTCGCAGGAAACGACACGCGCGGGCAAAGTATATTTTTTTACATGTAGTATCAGACTTGAGATGGAAATGTCAAATGGAATATAAATGTAGTTTAGCAATTAATTGTACTAAGGAAAAGAAGGTTCGAGAGGAATGGAAACGTAGAAATTATTCTATTTCCGTTTAATGATGCAATTTTCACGGTGGTCTTGAACCAGCAGAAATATTTCTACGAGACACATTTAAATGCTCTTTCTTTTTTGTACTATGTTTATTTATTTATTTATATGTAAAACTACAATTTCGTGTCCTTTTCAATTTGTAATGATAATGGAATATTTGCATGCGATATGTTGTGAAAGCACCGGATGATCAGTACATGTTTCTCTTATTTGAATTTTACGTCATTAAAACATGAGAAGCAATACCCCAATACCCAAAGCTCTGATTCACGAAAACAACTTTCAGAACTGACTGTTTATTGCAAATACGCAGTTATACATAAAAAGAATTCGTCCTATTTATGACACGCATACAGCACACAAATATCTATGATTCGAGAAAAAATTGCACGATCATTTTGATATAGACCAGTTAAGAGGTTTACAAGTGCGACTCTAGAAAACTTTGCAGTTTAATTTGACACCTTGCATCATTCTATCATATCAGAAATGGCATACAAAGCAACTTGTTTCTCTTTCGATAACAAACAATTGTTTCTCCAGACTCGCAGGAAGCAGAATATAAGCTTTTGTGTGTGTGTGTGTGTGTGTGTGTGGGGGGGGGGGGGGGGGGGAGGGTGGGGGGGGGGAAGACTTCGGAGGGAAAAAAAATATTTTTTTTGGGGG